TGGTGGATGCCACTTCAGGACATGGAGGATGAGCTTCCTGGATGCTACAGGGGTACCCAGATAGCCATGTACCCCCAGATGAAGAGAAGACCGTGTTTATCACCCCAAAAAGGCTTGTATGCTACAGAGTGATGCCTTTGGGTTGAAAAATGCAGGAGCAACTTACCAAAGATTGGTAACAATAGTGTTCAAGACACCTGATGGCGAACGGTGGAAGTTTACATCGACGACATGGTTGTGAAGACCAAGGAACCTGAGGGTCATCTGCCGACCTAAAAGAGTCTTTTTTTGAATCTCTTAAACATATCGGCTCGCACTCAATGCATCGAAGTGTGCATTTGGAGTTGGATCTGGTAAGTTCTTAGGGTACTTCTGGTGACCAGAAGGGCATTGAGGGCCAGCCCAGATCTCAAGGCCATCATGGAGTTGAATGAGCCAGACGTCGACAAAACAGTACAAATGCTGACTTGTAGGCGCAGCCCTGAATAGGTTCATAAGCGAAGCTCAGACAAGTGCCAACCTTTCTTTTAACTTAGTGAAGAAGCCAGATTCTTATGGGACCGAGGAGTTGCGAAGCCCGCTGGCTGACTTGAAGAAGTATTTGACACACAGCTCCATTCTTTCAAATCTAGAACTCTTGGAGAGGAGCTTGTTCCTGTACCTGGCAGTTTCAACATGCGGTAAGTGCAAGTTGGTACATCCGAGAAGAAAAAATGAACAAAGGTGTTCTACGTAGAAGCAAATCCTGGCTGACGCAGAAACCAGTATTTACCCTAGAGAATGTGGCGTTTTGCATTTGTAATGGCTTCAAAAAAGCTGAACCATACTTCCAAGCCCACAAATTGTGTGTTACAAAACATTCCATTGAGTCCCTGTATGCAGCAGGGAGATCCTGACGGAATTAGCAGGATGGGCAGTGGCCTTGGGCCGACTTTATTGACCTGGAGTTTCAGACTAGAACACAGCAATCAAAGGCCAAGTTTTGCTGACTTCGTGGCGAGTTCACGCCTGAATCCATCATACATCGGGCTCCGTTAAGCCACGGTGAACGATGTCCAACCAGCAAGAGGAGCCCACGAGGCACGGAACAAGAGGAAGGATAACTCAGACCTGCGCATTTACATCGGCGACTCCTTCCCGACCTGTTTGTTGATGGAGTTCAAACCGACAAGGAGCGGGGCATAGAGTAGTTCTGGTATCTCCAGATGGACAGATATTAAGAACAATCCATTCGTTTGGGGGGTTTAAGGCCTCAAACTCAATTTGAAGCATATGACATGTTGCGGACTTTTTTTGAAAGGGGCTGCAGTAGCAGAAGAAAGCGATGAGGTAATGTCTTCTGTGATTCGCAGTCATAGTCAACCAGACATACGGCGAGTCGCAGCCGGAGATAAGAGATGTTCGAGCCTACAAGGAAGTCAACAGGTTAGTAGCCTTGTTTCAGAATTGCCGAACTACATCAGTAGCCGCAGATGATAACAGTCACGCCGAATGCAACTGCCAACTCGGGTAGTGCAATACACCGTGGAAAAAGCAAGAACAATTATAGTTTGACTACTTGTGGCCCGCATCGAGCCATTGACCACAGAGCGTTGAAGAATGTGTGTGGAATATGGACCAAGCTAGGATGATGCAATTGTAGCATTCTTAAGGAAGGAAGCTGCCAGATGACACATAGAAGCACACAAGATCAGATTTGAAGTCGGCAAGATTCAGTTGACAGGAAGACATCTCGACAGAGATCCTCACTGGACCCCCTTTTGAGGTGTGTACATCCTTCACAAGTTGAAGATTTTTTATATAAATACATGAAGGAATTTGTGGAAGCCACTGCGGGGCAGACACTTAGCTCATAGGGCCATCACCCCAGGGATATTGGTGGCCTATTATGACAGAAGGATTACAGGGCCTATGTCAAAGTGTGAAAGTGCCAAGGTTTGCGCCACTGATACACCAACCATCAGCAATCCTACCAGTATCATCCTTGGCCGTCTTGCCCAATGGGTGGATCTCGTTGGGCAACTGCCCAACAACTGACAAAAAAGTACCTGTGTAGTAACAGATTACTTCCACAAGTGGATAGAGCTAAGCCCCCTAGCCAAGATCGAGATGTGGACGGTGAAGACTTCATATGGAGGAACATTCATCACTAGATTTTGGGATTTTCAAGCGCAATTTACGACATGCGATACAATTTACAGCACTAATTCAAAGAGTTTCTGTGCCAAAATTCAAGATCAAAACTTATTTTTCAACCCCAAGCTTTCCTCAAGAAATGGACAAGCAGAACATCCAACAAAGTTATCTCTGGATGGGATAAAAAAGAGGCTGCAGGCAGCGAAAGGAAGAAGTGGTGCGATGAACTGCCAAGTGTGCTTGGGCATTATCACTAGCCGAGAAGATCACTGGGGAATCCCTATTTGCCATGGCTTATGGCACAGAACAGTCATTCCTCTGGAGGTCGGCATCCAAGGTCAAACCAGGAGTAGAAAATGGGACCAATGATGTATATTAGCGAGATCTGGATACTAGAAGACGAAGGGAGAGAGCTCAATTCAGCTGGCAGCATACACAGCAGCTTTGCAGGCTATAATAAGAGAGTGTAACTCAAGGGAGTTCCAAGTCGGGGACCTAGGTCTTGAGAAAAGTCGTCGGCAACAAAAAGGATCCCAGAGGGGTAAGCTTGGCCAATTAGGAGGACCTACAGAATCACTTCAGGTATTGGCAATGGGGCTATCGAATTGAAGGATAATGAGGCAAGAGTTGCCAAGACCTTGATACTTGCACTTAAAATTTTTCTATATTAGACTTTTTTTTCTTTGTTATTTACCGAAGAAATAAATAAATTTAGCGAATTCTTCTACAATTATGTTGATAAGATACTTGCCGACGTTTTTGAATACATGCATAATTGAGAACCCAAGTGGAACTTAAGTTCACATTAGGGGCAGAGAGTTGGAAAATGGATATGTCTAACACTTATTGAAATTTGTATAAAAATTTACCAAGTTGAAGTTGCCGTATGTTACACGTTAATTGAAAATACAGAGTACGTATGTTTAACCACTTGTTAATTTGGTGAAAAATTTACAAGTTGAAGTTAAAAACCGAGATATGTTTAAACACTTGTTGAAATTTGTGAAAATTACAAGTTAGAAGTTAAACTATGGATACGTCTAACACTGTTGATTTTTGAGACTTACCAATGAGTTACGACAAGAATATTAAATATGATTACACATGAGAGCAAATCTGAAGTTAAGCCCGAGATCAATGTTTATAACAACTTGCTTGAAACATTCGTGAAAATATTACAAGTTGAAGTTAAACTGAGCTATGTTTAACACTTGTTGAAATTTGTGAAAAATTTAAAGTGATAGTTATCTGATCGTCAAACTTGTTGAAACTTAGTGAAAAATTCACAAGATATGAAAGTTAAAGCCGAAGGATTTTAGAAATTTGGGTTTTTTAACCACTTGTTGAAATATTGAAAAACGAGAGAATTTACAAGTTGAAGTTTAAACCGAATTACTGTTTAACACTTGTTGAAATTTTGTGAAAAATTTAACGTGTCACGTGTCCTGGTCATGACGCCGAGGTTATCTCGGCTAGGCCGAGGTTACCTCCGAAGATATCAGAATCTGGGATAAGCGGATAAGGCACAAGAGTCCTAGAATAAGGAAGGACTTCAGCATGGATAAGGATAACACTCTTAGGGAGTTTATCTTTATCTCTTGGAGAGTCCAGGATAAGCACTGAGCAGAAGTCCATTGAAGCTAGGCTTCTATGAGGACTAGGATTGAATTAACTATAAAAGAGAGGATGGGTCTAAGGTACGCAATTTATATTCTGAACAGTGAGATTAGCACTATTGATTATCTTTGAGATATACTGACTTGATCGTCGGAGTGCCCTCGGGTGGACGAACCACCGCCTGAATCTTCTCTTTCTGTTGCAGGTCAGTCAGGTGCCATCTATTTTGCCAGTGCTCTCCAGCTGAATACTGAGTTTGGCAGTGTGGTCAGAAATTCACCCACACATGATATATTCATCACACTTTTTTTCTTTTTTCTTTTTTCTTTTCTTTTTTTTTTTGTTTTTTGATTATGTTGGACTCACGGATTGGTTGTCTTTTTTTCACAGTCGAGCTTCAATACTTAAGCTCAAACACATTTTAAAAATTATTCGTGATAGCTCAGTATGCCTGAGGTACAGACTTCGGCTATGTAAAAATCTAGTAGGCTTATGCTGGGTCGTGAGCTTTTGGAGTGAATGAAGACTCTTTATGTATGAAAAAAAAAAAAAAAAGAGCTAAAAAAAAAAAAAAAAAAAGAAAAAGAGAGAGCTAACTTTAGTACTAAAAAGCTTTGTTTGGGAAGTGCAAGGACGGACCTAGGGCTGGGCATAGGTGGCTGCAGCCCAGCCCAAAATTTAAAAAATCTATAGAAATTTTTTTTTCAGCCTAGCCCAACCCAACCTCCCAACCTCTCTCAACCCAGCCCCAAATAAGGGCCAATAGTGTTTTTGTTTATTTTTTAGATAGACAGCCCAACAATAGTCTAATACTTACCCAAAAAAATAAATAGGCAGCCCAATAAATTTGTATTTATTTAAAAAGGCGGCCTAAAAAATAGGCAGCCCAAAATTATAAATAGCAGCCTTATACAGCACCTTCTTTATGCTTCTTCACGTCCTTTTCTTCTTCACGGTGGTACAGGTACTGCTCTCTCTTAACCCTTTTTTTTTTCTTAATCTTTTTTTTTTTTCTTAATCTTTTTTACTCTTAATCAAAAGAATATTTTTTGCTCTTAACCTTTTTGTTCTATATTATTCTTAGTTTTTAAACTTTGAACAATTGTTTTGGACATATATCAAAATAATGAAAGCCTAAATAAAAATTATTGAGGATACATATAAAAATCCTAATATTTAAAATTATTGTGCATATACTCTAGTTTAATATTAAATACGGCTAAATTTTTTTTTTTAGGTTATAAATAATGGAACCTCCACCACTCAAAAAAGGCAAAACCCTTTTCTCATTCTACCAATCAAAACAGAATTCTAATAGTACAACATCCAATGTTGTTGAAACCTCATTTTCTGATGTGCAATCGCCGCCTTCCATGCCTCAAGCAAATAAACCAAGTGAATTTGATTCAACTGTTATTGAACGGGATCCTGGTTTACGCTTGCAAATTTGTGAATATCCAGTTAATCAACGAGATGAGGTTAGACGAGCTCATATGAACTTGGGGCCTTATCAACCTAAACTTGAGTATCTTCGGTCCTCATTTGGAAAGCAGAATCGTCGATTCCAACATATTTGGTTTAAACAATTTTCTTGCCTAGAGTATTCTCCTTCAAAGGATAAAGGATATTGTTTTTCATACTTTTTGTTTGATCAACCAAATAAGTCGATCAGTCGTTCTGCACTTGTTGATGAGGGGTTTAACAATTGGAAGAGAGTAAATGATGGATCCAAATGTGTTTTTTTGCTTCATGTTGGACTTGCATCTTCTTCACATAGTTGTTGTGTTATTAGTCATGACAATTTAAAGAAATCTTCCTAACACATTGAAAAAGTGTTGAATGCACAATCAAAAGAAGAAATTTTGAAGAATCGAATGCGGGTAAAGGCAACAATTGAAACTATTCAAGTACTTGCGCTTCAAGGACTTGGTTTTAGAGGTCATGATGAAAGTTCGACTTCATTGAATCAAGGTAATCTAATTGAATTATTAAAGTTCAAGGAGAGAGGGAATGATGCACTTGAGAGCATTATATTTAAGAATGCTCCACAAAATGCCAAATACACTTCTCCAAAGATCCAAAAGGATATTTTGTATATACTTGCTGACAGAGTTAGGAATATGATTTTTGATGAAGTTGCAAGAGGTTATTTTTGTATTCTTGTTGATGAATCCCAAGACAAGTCTAAAAAAGAACAAACGGCCCTTATTTTGAGATATGTCAAGAATGATGGTTTGCTAGGGGAACGGTTCTTTGATATCATGGGTGTCAAAAATACATATGCATTGACTCTTAAAAAAGAGATATCGAATATCCTTTCTCAATTTAATCTCCCTATTCAAAACATGCATGATCAAGGGTATGATGGTGCTAGCAATATGCGTGGTGAATGGAATGGACTTCAAGCTTTATTTCTTAAAGATTGTCCATATGCATATTATGTACACTACTTTGCACATCGTCTGCAATTGGCCTTAATTGCGGCAGCAAAAGATAAGCCTAATGTTTGGCAATTTTTTTCTCACTTGAGTTGTATTGTCAATCTTGTTGCTTCTTCTTCAAAGCGCCTTGGTGAGTTAAAATCTTTTCATAGGAGTGAGGTTGAAAATATGTTGGCTAGTGGTGAGCGTCAATCTAGTAAATGGGCCAATCAAATTGGTACCTTGCATCGAGCTGGAGCTACTCGTTGGAGCTTGCATTATGAATCTGTTAGAAACTTGATTGATATATATGACGCATCTTGTGTAGTTGTTGAAAGTCTCAATAAGAGTACAAATCAACAAATTCGCGGGCAAGCTAATGGTGTTTACAAAGTAATGAAGAGCTTTGAATTCACATTCATCTTGCACTTGGTGGACAACATTTTGGGAATCATGAATGCACTTTGTCAAGCCTTGCAACAGAAAACTCAAGACATCTTAAATGTGATGAAATTAGTCTCCACAACAAAAGCTCTCCTTCAAAAACTTAGACAAGATGATTGGGATACTTTTCTTGCAAATGTGGTGTCATTTTGCAATCGACATAACATTGCGATGCATGATATGAGTTCTCCTTATGAAAGGGGTACAAGTTGTCGTCGTCAACAAGATCACATTATAATTGAGCATCATTATCACTTTGACATATTCAGCTCTACAATTGATTTTCAATTGATAGAGTTAGAACATAGATTTAATGATGGGGTAGTGAAACTTCTTTCTCTTAGCTCGCCTTTGGATCCTAGTGGCAATTTTAATCTTTTAATGTGGATAATATTTGCAATCTTGCCGAGAAATGTTATCCCCAAGATTTCACTTCTCAGGACATCCATGCTTTGAGATGTCAATTAATGCATTATAAGCTTGATGTTGTCTGTGATCCCGAGTTTCATAAGATATCTACCCTTGCCGAATTGTGCCGAGAACTATTTGTGACAAGAAAGTTCGAGCATTACACCATGACCTACAAATTGATTCGTCTTGTGTCAACCCTTCCTGTTTCTACAACGACTACGGAAAGAGCATTTTCGGGTATGAAGCAAGTTAAAACTGCCATTCGCAATTCAATGGGGGATGAGTTTCTTGTCAATTGCTTGTCTCTCTACCTTGAACGAGACCTTACTTTGAAAATTGATCTAGATTCTATGATCGATGAATTTGAATCTTTAAAGACTCGTCGAGCACAACTTTGTTAGATTGTTTTTAATATTAATTTAGATTATATTATTAAATTCTCTTTTTTCTTATGTGGTTATACTTATAATATATTGTATAATTTTACCTATATATTAGCCCACCCCATCGACAAATCCTGGGTCCACCCTTGGGGAAGTGGGTTGGCTTTTTGACTTTTTGACTTTTTAACTTTTTGGCTTTTTTGGCTTTTTTTGTGAGAGAAAAGTGTATTAATTATGGGTTTGATGTGATGTTTTGTTTGTTGTGGCTAAAATAGTCTATTTTGTCTTTTATGGCTAAAATAATCAAAAAAAGCCTGTACGAGCACGAAATAATGTTCTCGTATAATCCTATTGATCAAGTCTACGCTCCTCCGTATGTCGTCGCTTTACTCCCTGAAAACACAAACGTGAGCTAGCCGGCGGGTGTGTGCCGGATACCTCTTCGATGCCTAAGTCAGCAAAATAGACAAATAGACAAAAGCTATGTATATTCCGAAAGTCAAAGTTGTGTTACCTCTCCATAGGTGATGTTGTGAGCTTTTATAGGTTCCGTGTGGCACAATCCTAGTAGGACTCTTATTCCTCTATGTAGAGTCCTCCTAGGAATCACACTCCTGAAAGATAATGTTTATCCTTCAACACCCCCCTCACTACTTAAACCAAGTGAGATGGTTTTACCTCGGTAGTATGACAAAACGACCGAGCTAACATGGCCATGCTAAAGTGGCAGAAATGACCGAGCTCTAACTAGCTCGGTTCTTCCCTTCATTGCTTGTACCTCGGTTTGGTCCGTTGAGACCAAGCTAACCACAATAAGCTTAGACCGAGCTAACGAGAGTAAGGTCCATCACAAAAAGCCCAAATACCTCAGTTCTGAATACCATAGCCGAGCTAAATATTACCATACCGACCGTGGTAACCACAACCACAATTGGACCGAGCTAACTGCAAGGTCCTTTCACTAGGCCATTTTTACCGCGGCCCACGGAGCAGCCCATTACCCAGCTCGGACCAATTTACTCATAAATTACCCTCTCAATTGTCCCTTAACTCCATCTGCGCAGCATGATTGGGATTACCCGTTACCAACCGAGCTAAAAAACTTTTGCCTTTCAACCGAGCTAAAATGTTGTCGGGCTACCAATTGGTTCGATCAAAAAACGTCTCTTCAGTTACGCTGTCATCTGAATCGCTTGCTATCTCATAGACACGCGGCTGGCCTCTATTGGTTGAGTACAGCCGTCAACGCCGACTTCGTATCTCGCAAATTTTGAACAGTCCCGCCATTTTTCACTCTCTTTACACCAAAACCATATGCTTTGAACCATTCATTTCTACTATTCATCTTCCCTCTCTCTTTTCCCTTGACTCTCTGTTCTTGCAACCACAGTGCCTGCGAATCTCGTGCTTTTGCTGATATTGTTTCCATCTTCAGTTCCTCTATTCTTGACTGGTATGTGGCTCAAATCTGTTTCCTTTTCGTTTATTTCGTACTGATTTGTAATGCATAGCATATTATGTATGTTTCTCAAAACACTTTCTAGTTTCCATGGGATATGGCCACTTTTGCCCAAGAACCATGTAGTAGATCCGATGGATTCACAAACAATCTGGGAAACAATGCTTTTGATCCAAAATAAAACTTCAACCGAACTAGGAAATTGTTTGTATTAGGTGCAAACCTAGCCAAACTAAACAACCGAACTAAAACTTCATGCCATACTTGTAGTTTCAATAGGTCCACGTACCTTCTGTTTCATTTAGCCGAGGTAGCGAGCTGTATTAGGTTTGCGCAATACCGCGCTAGAAAGCTTCAACCATCAATCGAGCTATAACTTGGGGCCAAACCAGCTCCCTCACTTTGTCAAAACCCAACTAAGAATGTTGCACCACAAGCTTCAACCGGGCTACCAACTTCTTATTTTCTTAACTGGGTTAAAGTCCCTCGCTCAAACCAGGCTAAGAATGGATAGTTTCCCACGTAGCCGAGCTAAGACAAATTTATTTTACCTTTGTTACTTTTAGCACGGTCCATCGATCTGTGCTTAACACTTTTCCTTTGTACTTTGCAGACTGACTTAGGTTGGCTAGGCACACTTTTACACGCTCAATCGAGATACTGAAGGTCATCTTAACACCGAGCTAAATTATACATAATTTAAGGCCACATGGGGAAGTATCGATTTTTAGTGAACTCTCCAGGGGCCATAGCCAAGTTCTGAAAGGATTACCAAATTCCAGATGACGTCCACCTCTCACTAGCCGAACTAGACACCATTCCTTGGGGAAAACCGGGCTTCGTCCCTTTCAACGTTATTTCTATCGTAGAGGCTGGCCTCCGTTTTCCTGTTCTGCCTCTTCTTTGTGAATTCCTTAGACAAACAAATCTCTGCCCTACCCAGCTTTTCACCAATTCTTACCGAATAATAAATGGCATCGCCGAGCTAAATCGCAGGCTTGGCCTGAACCTCGGTTTAGCCGAGCTATTCCACCAGTACTCTCTAGGCCAGAACGAAGATGGTTGGGTTTATTATTTAATAATAAGACGTCGCCAAGAGAAAATGATAAAAAAATACCCCGGACAAAGATGTAAATGATGAAGATTTTTTCTAGGTCTTGGGCAACTTCGAAGACCAAGAAGCCCAAATACCAGGAGACCGAATCAACTGGAATAAAGGAGTAGCCAGTATAAATACCACGGCTCAGTTTTGTGCTTTCTTTACTTTGTTATCCTCATTTTCAACCGTGCTAACCATTGTCTTCTTTTATGCAGACTTGGACCATCTAAAGTCGTAGTACAGTTATCCTAACCTTGACGCAGTTCGCGCCGCACTAAGATATCCCAATCGAAGTTGGGCCGAGCTACTTAATTTCGAACCAACCTACAGATATAGCAGCAGGAGGAAGACCAGGGTGACAGACTTCCTTTTGGAACCCTCACCAAAACCAGATCCAACACTTCCTCAAATCAATTTGATTCCATTAACTGCAGAACAAGAGATGGCCAAAAAGAGAGCTGTTAAGGCCCTCATTACCGAAACAAATCAAGTCGAGGTACCACAAACCGGCCAAACACAAGAGGCCGTGGTAGCCCTTCTAACCGCCCAGCCTTCATCATCTCGGCCCAACAAGCGTGCTCGGACTTCCACAACCGAGCCACGCCTTGTTGATGAGGATGAAACTGTTCTTCCCCAAACCACACCACCGAGCCCACAACCTCAGCGATCAGACTGGGCTAGCCCATCAGAATGGGTGCCCAAGGTCACCTACAAGAACCGAGCTATCATTGACTCTGACTCAGTGGTTGCCGAAAAAGACCATTCATTGGCTTTTAACTTTGCCAAGAGTGTATGCCTTCCAGTTGATATGGAGCATCACGACCATCTCACTGAGCTGAAGGCCATTCGCTCGGCAACAAAATCAATGGTGTTGGTAAGTTCTCCTTTTTCCTGTCCTAATTTATACATCTGTTTGCTCGGTTTTGCTCAAAATTGTTTCTCTCCTTTTGTAGGCCCTACAGAAGAACCACGTTGCTCACAAGCGCGTGTTAGAACTTCAAAAAACCACACGGCAGGCTGTGGCAGAGGCCGACGCAAAGACGACCGAGCTAAAAGAGTCCTAATAAAAAATGGCCGAGCTACGCACCGAAGTAGCCCGTCTAACTGGTCTCGTCAGCTCGGCTGAAGCAGACAAGCAAAAGGCTGTGGCCGAGCTGAAAGACAAATATCTGCGCGAGCTGGCCAAGCTCGAAAGAAAGAAAAATGACGAAATAACCAAACTGGAGAAAAAGATAGAAGACGTGGAAGGCCGCGGTTACAAGGAGGGTGAAGCCACCTATATCCAACAGTGTGAGGCTGCTAAGAATATATTTTTTAAGTGTGGGTGGAAAGCAGACGTGGTGCAGCTCGGTTATGGTCAGAAAATCGAGGTTTTTCAGAGCCCTCCTCCCCATTTTATTCCCAGCTACATGGTAGAGTACGCCAACGCCATTCAACAAAAATTTCTTCAAGAAGGGGAGGATGACGAGGATTCTGCTCCTGAGGCCAATGCCTAGCTCGGTCGCCAATCCATCTCTCCCACTCCAGTGGTCTCTGTCCCACCTTCAACTGTTGTGACTACCACGGTGCCTACGACCGAGCTAAACCAAGGTGTGCTTGTCTCGACCGAGCTACCTCTGGGTGAAGCCCGGGTTGATTTGGACGCCGACTGGGAGGACCTTTTCTCCTGATTTTTCTTTTCTTTTTTTTTCACAAAAAAGCTTGTAACCGGGCTGAGGCCCCACCTTTTGTACTTCTGCTTTTGAATGAAAATCTTCTTCTTTTTGTTCGGTCTGTTCCATTCTTGCACTTTATTTTTCAACTGTAGTTGTATGAAGTATAACATTTCCTGGCCGAGGTATGTACCTCGGTCTTAACCTTGAAAGTTGTTTGGTTATACTTGCCAACCACTCTTCAGCCTAGATCCATATCTCGGCTGAAGAGTACTAAAAGTTGGTTATTCCAGCCAACCACTCTTCGGCCTAGATCCTTATCTCGGCTGAAGAGTACTTAACGTTGGTTTATTTCAGCCAACCACTCTTCGGCCTAGATCCTTATCTCGGCTGAAGAGAAGAAAGTGTTGGTCATACCTGCCAACTTCCTACAACCTAGATCCTTATCTTGG